TGGGGCAGAAGTCTACAGAAACCTTACTGGAAAGGGGTTTCTGGATGGGATAACCATTATGAAGTACAAAAGGTAAATTCCAGGACAGATTTCTGTGGCCTTGGGAGTTTTGTTGACCCATGAAAATATGGGGCATATTTAGAATAAATGTGGGACATTTTTAGAATATATGTTCCAATGGGATTGGACAACTAAAACCTACAAGAGAAGCCTCTTTAGGAGAGCTGCTTTGGGGGTTGAGTGCATGTGTGCATGAGTACATACATACACTATTATTAATTACAAGCTTCTGTAATTATATATACTATTTGTAAAATTTAGCCTTTGCTATACATAATTATATATGTGTATTTAGGAAATCATTGCTATCTGGAACCTTACACCAGAGCTTGAGAAGAATGAAGAGTAAGCATAGGATAGAATAGGGGACCACGCCCTAACCCACACTTTCTCCTGTATTTCAAGAAAACTTGCATGGCTGGTCCCAAACTGGCACTAATTCCCTTTAGCTGAGAGAGGGAGAAAATGTATTGTGTCAGATTTCTACATAATCTGACATGTACAGTTAATTCAGAAATATATGTTCTTTTTTTGCCATTTACCTTACAGAGACATGAGATATGTTCAGTTATAAACTTTAATGGTTCTGGGATGTATGAAGTGGATGGTTGTTATTTCAACCACTCAACTGGAAAGGAAAAAAAATAATAACACAGTATCTTAATTTTCTAAGTTTTAGGAATTCATGGGGAGATTGAAAGAAACTTAGTTTTCAACAATACTTTGAAAAGGCATCTTGGATCACACAGACTCAAACCCAGAAAAATGAGAGCAGTTCAAGAGACTGGACTTTCCTTTGACACTATCATCTCATAACTTCAACACTATCAATGCTAATCTATAATCACAAATAAGAGGCTGAAAGAAAACCAAAATGGAAGCTGTCCTAAAGCCCAGCAGAAAGTACAGGGAACCACAGACTTTTCTGTTTGGCTGCACACCTGTTTGAGCAAAAATGCACAAAAAAAAGGTCCACTTCTTCCATCTCCTATAATGTTGAGTACTACTTAACAGTTTCATGAGGAGTTTTACAGTAAATAAATGGATAAGTAAGACTCTATTCTTGGAATCAACCCCGGAAAACATTTTTTTAAATAGTGGCAAGATTTTTTTTTTTTTTGTACTTTTATGAGGATATTTAAGTATTAACACTGATTATATATATTGATTATATATATATATATATATATGCTTTATTTTTACAGTATGGAAAAATGGCTTTGCCTTGATTAGGGATAAGACATGTTCCAAAAAGCTCCTACATAGTCCTACCATCACATATACTGGATGCCTCACTATAGTTGAGGAATAAACCATCAGGAGCAGTCCAACATTCAGAGTCACCACCTGAGCAGATTCCCTACCACAGAATACTCTGGGATGGGTTTGCCTCAGTCTTTTTGGTTAAGGCAGTGATGCTCACCTAAAATAAATAGTGGATGAAAAAGCAAGGTTTTCCCTTAAAACTGTGACATTCAGTAATCTTTTCTCACTTAGGGGAGTATTTATTGTACAGAGTTAAATGGTTCAAACTCCTATAACATGGTTCTCCATAACACAGAACTTCAAAGTTTACCCTTACAAGTGTGACAAAGGGGGCACTGAAATTTGTGTCTTTGAAGTCTAGAACTTCTAGGATCTACCTTCTTTCTTGATCTGAATTGCCTCATTTCCATGAGGTATTTCTATTCACTCTTGTCAATCTAGTCCTTTGCTTCCAGATTTTCTGTGTTTATAGACACAAGCAAAACCTGAGCATTTCAAATCAAACAAAACTTCCTGTTCAACCCCAAATCACTGGTTTTCACTCATACATACAAATCAAAATTTTTGTGTTGGTCCATTGGGCCAAAAGGAAATAGAGATGCTTTCTGTATTACTGGCTTCATAGGCATGCAAACTTTGGGCTTGAAGTACAGCATTGAGCCAACACTTATTACCATAAGTCAATTATTTTAAACAGCATAAAGAGCCCAGGACTGCGCCTTACTGAAGAAGCAGTAAGTGAACAATTATTTGGGATCAATGCTGAAATCTTCAAACAAGATTCACTCTGCCTTTTGATTCTGATCAGCAAGGAAATATACATACACACAACATTCTCTACCCCTTCAATGCAAAATCCAAGTAATAGAATTGCCTTCTGCAAATGCAATGATGCTCTGCACAGGGTTTGGGCATATTAAGACTTTTTGTTGTTTAAAGGCCAGCAACAGAGGGTTTCAGAGACCAGTTGTACACTTTGATCCTTTTGGTGTGAAGATTTTTATGTAACAATAGAGTTCGGGAGAACTCTTGCACTGCATTCTCCTTTTATTAGCTTAGTCCTGAACAATGTACTTGTGCAATGACTCAGAGGAAGGCACTGCCTCTTGAATGTAAAGACTACACCAGGCAACTCACTAGACCAGCGGTCGCCTCAACTGACATCCGAAGCCATCATCCAACTCTTTGGCATTGAGACACTTTGAAGTTCAGTAAACTTTGAGTGACTGGTTGAAAATTCAGATCTAGTAAAGAAAATAGCCCATATTATATTCTATATAGGGAGCGCATAAGGAAGGGAACCAGCAACAGAGGTTACCACAAAATTCCTGTTTAATATGAGACTCTCCATGCTGACTAAAGTAGGATGGGCATTGTACACTGGATTTATTTGGGGCCTGAATTTTGTCAGTCTCGGAATTAGCCCCATGTGACAGGATGTTGAAACCACTGAGTTAAATCAAGCATCTCACACTTCTCACACTGCTCAGTGTGGGTGCAGGAACAGCCACATGGAGTCAGACCAGAGGTTTGTCTAATCCATTATGCTAACTCCAACTCCCCACATATATGTAGAGTACAAAAATAGTATCATCCCTTTTCATTAATAAAAAAACCCTACTGCTATCATATTTAAAATTATCTCACTCAATATTGTGGCAATACTGCACACCCCTTCCCAGTCTTCCTCAGATCTGGTCTACATCTAGAAGGTTGAACAGAAGCCAAACCTAAAGCAGAAGAATTTTCTGCTTGCTTAGTTTCATCAGATGAACACAGAGAGGTAAGTGGGAATAGCACCTTTGAGAAGGAAAAAGATGTGGGGAAACTGGAGCACAGACAATCCTGTCCTGGATTGCTACAAACTGCCATGAATGCAATCATGAAATAAGCTGTTTCCCTGTGACCTGTTGGCTTTCACACCCTGTCCTGTACTCAGAACCATTGCTGAGCTATTTCACTCATTACATTGCCTGACCAATAATTTCCTATTCTTAACTGACTTCACAAACTGAAATAGCTCAGTTAATAATCCATAAATGCAGCTGTCAGAGGAGATCAGACATCAGTGAAACTTCAACCCAACATGCTAACAAGGTATCAGCAAAACACGCTATACACCCAATGAAGCTCCCACTTCTAAATCAGTAAGTCAAAGCACAACCAAGAGAAAAATAAGCAAGTCTTACTCATAGAGCCCCCAGAGAAAGAGCCACTCAATGGAGTTATAAGTTACTTCACTATATTTGTTCTTACACAGAACATTTCAGGATATGCCTCCGAACAAGGCAGTACAAATTCAATACTGTGTCTCCCATATCATACCTCCGGCAGCCTTAACTCCCACCCTTGAAATCTGACCAAGCCTGTCCAGGAGTTAAGAATCTGCACAGGCCAAATCCTTAATTTTATCATCTTTCTACAGAGCTGAAAATAATACTAAAAAACCCTCAACCTAACAGTGGGAGCACTGAAATCACCTATACACTTTAAGATCTAGTAACAATACTCTTGTGTTTCTGCAGTAGAATTCCAAAATTTAAATACCTGGAGCCTCAGCATCTGGTAACTCTGCAGCTTGCCTTACTGGGTTTTAAATCAACCCAATTTTGCTTTTATAGTTAAGCAGGTATTACACCCAGAGGAACAGCACAACAACATGCACCCTTGAACTTTCATTTAATTCACTTCTGAAACGCGACGTGGCACTACTGCAGCCATCAGCAGACGGTCTAACGTTATGTAAACAATTTCAAAAGCCAAATGGATGTAGAATAGATTAAGCATTAGTTTGGAAGAATAAGGAGTTTGCAGCTTCACTAAGAAAGAAAAAAACCCAACAAAATATACGGGTTTTGGAAGAAGCTGGCTGCTTTATGTTAACACTAGCAAGTTTTTACAAGCAGCCCCTACACCATCAAGATGCCTTACTGCCTTTGTTAAAGGCAGGCAACAAGAAGTCAAGAGACATCAGAAATTTTAAATCACCGAATGATTCTATAAGCAAGTTGTGAAGTTGTTCATTCCACCATGAAAACTGGTTAGTCCCATCTGCCAGGAGAGTTGGAACATAAGCTGTGTATTACCCAGCATTTCTTAACCCTCTTGCAAACATAACAAAAATAATGTAAAAAGAGAATAATCAATCACTTTCTCCCTCACACACACCTTTGCTCCTCACACACCAATTGCAAAGCATAAGAGCTAAAAAAACCTTTAATAAACCAGATTAAAGAGAGACTGCCTATCATATAGAATGACTATGTTATTTTTCAGTCAAAATAAGCTACATGACTTTTTCATCAGTCTACTGTGGAACCCATGAAAGGTTTATAAAAATAATTATGTGCAAGTAATTATATTAAGCACAATTATCCATCATTAACCATCTCACAACCAGAGGATGAGTCTTAGTTTGTTATCAAGTGACCAGATACCAAGTCTTACTCTTTCTGCAGAGAGAGGCACTTCAGTGTCATATTTGTGTCATGCAAGCTGACTTACGGCTGTCAGTACCAATGCTGGATCATAGTTCACCTCCAGACACCTATATATTGCTTTGATAAGCAGTTACATTCTTCCCAAAGCCAGAGCTCACTTACACAGAGCACCTCAGTGGTGGTGTACTTCACCAAGAACCCATCCCTGTGCAGTTTCATTGAACTGAAACACCATTTGTTCTTTGACTTTTATTAAGTTCACTTAGGTTGACCAAATGAGCTTCCCTAAAGTAAACAGGGTTATAAAATATCAGGATGATTCTATCTTTAGGTGCTCCATAGAAACAAATACTTAGTTCAACTAGAAAACTTTAAAAATGACTTTAGATACAAAAGTGTAACAATTATACTGCGCGATACATTTTTATATATCACTAAACTCATGAAATTAAAATTTTAAAAGTTTTTGCACCATCAACAACAGCCACAAGTCCTGAACCTCCATTCTTTATGCATTCTTTATCAGAGTAAACTGAAACTTGGGAATGCTTGGGATTCAAAATACCCTGAGCACATACTAGTGCAACACCACAAAGCATACATAATCCATCGGAAAAGGGGAAAGGGGGAAAAAAAAAAAAAAAAAAAAAAAAGCAAGAATCAGATGGTGCTTTATTATACAAGCATGAAAGTAAGTTCCTTTGGAAAATAACTTCTTGGGTGGACTTCTGGACCAGTGAGGTAGCCCAATGGGAGAGAAAAAAAAGTGGAAGTGGAACTTGGTCCCCACGCGTGATACCTGTCAGGCGGTCCCAGCCCGGGGCGAGGCCGGGGCCCGGCAGGCCGCCCCCCGTGCGGCGGGGGGCCCGGCGCCGCCCGAGCGGGCCGTAAAGTGCAGCAGCAGAACACGATCCAGACAAAAGCAATGTAAACAGGTGACTGATACCGGTCTCTTTGTCCGCACCGCGGCCAAGGTGAGGCGCGGGCAGCGGAGCCCCGCGGGCTCAGGACGGTGCCACGGGGAAGCGGCGCACCCGCACCACAGGGGACAGGTCCACGCCGAGGATCCGCTGCGCCCGCCGCCGCGCCGCCGCCAGGCTCCGCCGGTTCCACATGCTGCCCCGCACACGGATGGTGGGGAATGTGGTGAGCCGAGGGGTGGCCGCCTTCCAGATCTCCTCCAGCGACTTGCCGCCGAACGGCTCCCAGGCGGCCGCCGCCGGGCTGTCCTGCTCGCTGTCCGCCTGCTCGCCCGGCGGCTCCGACGCCTCCGCCGCCGCCTCGTCCTCCAGGGCGCGGGGGCCACCGGCCACGGGCCGCTGCCGGCCCCGCTCCCTCCTGCGGCGCCGCCGCCGCCGCCGCCGCTTGGCGCTGCCGCCCGCCGCCCCGGCCCGGCGCTTGGCGTCGGCAGCCGGGAGGCGCCGCTTGCCGGCGCGGCGGCGGGGCCGCTCCGAGGGCGGCGGCGGGTCGGGGACGACGGCGCGGCAGGAGGAGTATCCGTAGACGTCCTTACTGCGGAGGATGACCGGGGAGAACTCGTGCTTGAGGCTGCAGAGGAAGTTCCACAGCTCCGAGTCGGAGCTCATGAACTCCGTGGACTTGGGCATGAAGAGCCTCAGGGCGTCGCCCAGCGCCTTGGTGCCGGCGAAGGAGACCTGCGAGCGCGAGTACACAACTTTCTCCGCCTCCCCCTCCAGCCCCCAGGCTGCGGCCGTCGGTTTGCCGCCGGCTGCCCCTGCCCCTGCTGCCGTCGCTGTCGCCGCCCGGGCTCCCGCGGCCGCCGCCGCGGCGCTCCCCGCCTCTGTGTTCATCTTCCCGGCTCCTCTCTCCAGCGCCGCCTGCTTCCTACTGCGGGTCATGGAGGCAGCGGGACGGGGTGGCGGGACAGACGCCGAGAAGGCAGAGCGGAGGCAGAGCGGAGGCAGCGCCGAAGGCAGGCTCCGGCCGCTGCCGGGTACCCGCCGGGTGCGAGCGGCGATCGATGTCCTGCGCCCAGCACAAAATGGCGCTTTAAAGTCCCGGGCGGGGCCTGCGCGTGCCCGCCCCCCCTGCGCCGCCCGTTGGCCCGTTCGAAACGCGTCGGGCGGGCCCGACCCCGCCCCGCCGGGGGCCGTGGCGTGAGGGTGGCGGGGCCGGAGCCCCCTGCCCCGGGAGCCCCCTGCCCCGGGAGCCCTCTGCCCCCGGAGCCCCCTGCCCCCGGGCGTGGTCCGGCGGGCTCCGCCGTGGTCCCGGCGCGACGCCGAGCCGCGATGCCGCGGCTGCAGAGGTGCCCCTTCCCTCGGGACGAGGCCCCCGCATGGCGGGGTGAGCGCGTGTCCGCATCGCGCCTCGCCGAGAGGTGAGGATCCTCACAGGGCGGCTTGTAGTGTGAAATGTGTTGGAGTAAGGATTTGGTTGGACACTTCGATGGGCAAACTCCCCGAAGGAGTAGCCATGAGAGAACTGAGACAAATAAAAATGGGCCAGCAGACATGATACAGTGAAGTGCTTTACATTATATTGAATACATCCATCCTGTTGCAGAGGAATTTTTTAGCACGAACTTGTAGGCTGGTCAGTCAGCGACATCATAAGTCATGGAATCACAGAACAGTTGGAGTTAGAAGGAACCTCTGAGATATCTGGCCCAACATCTGTGCCTAATCATAGCCACCTAAACCACGTTACCCAGGACTGTATCTGGATGGATTTTGAATATCTCCAAGGATGGAGGCTCCTCTCTCATCTGACCACCGATAGTACATGATAAATCAGAATGAATCTGTGTGAGGCAAAGGTCAGATTTGATACTAGGAAAAAGTTCTCTGAGAGGGTGATTAGTCACTGAACAGGCTCCCCACTGAACTGGTCACAGCACCAACCCTGTCAGAGTTCAACAAGCATCTCAAGGACACTCTTTGTTACATGGTTTAGTTTTAGATATTCCTGTGAGGAGCACTCTTGGACTCGATGATCTTTATGGATGCTTCAAACCTCCCTGGGCAGCCTGTGCCAGTGCTCAGTTACCTTCAGAGTGAAAAGGAGTTTTCTGGTGTTTGGAAGGGACCGTCTGTGTTTCAATTTGTGCCCATTGCCTCTGATTCTTTCAGTGGGCACTTCTGAGAAGAGCCCAGCTCCATCCTCTCTGTGCCCTCCCTTCAGGTACCTGCATAACCTGATGACCCCTGAGCATTCTCTTCTCCAGGCTGAACAGTCCCAGCTCACTCAGTCTTTCTTTACAGCAGAGGTGCTTCAGCCTCTTAATCTTTGCAGCACGTTGTTGGACTCTCTCCAGTGTATCTGGATCATGCTTTCCAATACTTCAGATTGCTGTCACCGGCAGAGTGTCTTGCTATATGTTCCTGGATTGCTGCAATTATACCAGAGCACGGTGCCAGCAAGGGCAAAGGTGGTTTAACCTACTGTACAAATCCTATCTGGAGTTTGATTAGACCCCTAACTAATTACTTTCAGCATGAGTAAAGAGAGAGGAATAACATTTTTCTTCATAGACAGTCTTTGTTCTGTAATTAATCTTTCAGATTAGAATAGGGAAATCTTTTATTCTCAACTCATCAAGAACCTAAATTGGAATGTCTAGAAATCCCGTCAAGTAAGAGGCAGAAATTCTGCATAAGAAATTATTCCTTACTGCCAGTGGAAATGAATTAATTTTCTTCACACAGAATAATTCAACTTGTGTTTGTGGGAAACTCAAGAATATTAAATAAATCAAGCCATTTAAAATGGATATTAACAAAGCCATTTTAATTCCTCATGGAGACAGTCTCAAGGTGCAGCCATATTCTAAACTAGCTTTGTAAATGACCCATTTTTAAAAAGAAACCTTTCCCAAAATGATGGCATTAGAGCTGTTTTTAATGGGATCCATTTCACAGCGTGCTTTAGCATGCAGTCATGTAGCCAGATTGATTTTACTGAAGGACGTGTCCTATAAAGCAGAGGACTAGAGCCCAGAGCTGGCAGCACCAGGGATAGGCATCTCCTGATCCAGCTGTGCTGCTGCTGGTCACACTCTGGCTATGGGATCACCACGGCTTAGGAGAGGCTCATCACCTGCTGGACCACAGAAGCTGCCCTGGGCTCACATTCTTGGTGGAGGCAGCTTAATTCAGCAGCTCAGCTGGCAAATGAGCCCTCGATAATCTGCAGAAACCCAGGTGCCCATTGACCATAATATTTTCCCAAAATTACAATCATTTCTGGCATATGACTCGAAAATCATTGAGGCAGAGGGGAAGAAGCTTCTCAAGAAAGCAGTAGAAGAATCACTACAGCTGCAAGTGAAAAGATCAGCACATTTTATCATGTAGTATTTATTAATTATTTTTCTTTTATAGCTTAATGGGTGGACAATACCCTTTTAAGGCATGGGATGTAATCTCACTTTTACAACTTCATTATGAGTTTTCTGCAGTGTAACACTCTTCTTTTAATGCCCTAAAAAGTAATCTCCAAAAAATCCATGGTAATTGCCTATCTTTTAGTAATTTCCAATAGCTCAGGACAGTAATAACAATAGTAATAAAATTAATAATCCTTTGGAAGTGCATAGCTCTTCATTTCAATCATACTACTTCTTGTAAGCATTAATTATCACTCACAGTAATCTTGAGTTATGTAAGTAAATACTGCCTTTCCTTAATAGATTAATAAAATGAAGAAGTGGATCAAAATGACTTGACTAAGATGTATAGACTCAATTTTCTGTAGATCTTCTAACAATCATTATTCTAAAAATACAGGAAATGTCCACATTGGAACAGAGAAGAGTAAAAATACCCTGTAATCTTTTTTTCCGGTTATTTGTTGGAATTTCTTTTCTGTATTAAATTCTCAAGAAGGAAGAACAAAGTACCAATTGAGAAAATGGTACACTAATTGCTGCACAATAGAGACACAATTTTCTTTAACGTTGCCTGCCTGGTACCAAAAAACCCCACTGGTAACTGCTAATTCTTTTAAATGTTAACAATCTTATCTGTACAAATGATAACACACTTTTGAGTCTTGTTGATGAGCCCTTAAATCCTGGATATTAAGTCACATCACTTCTGCTGACAGGACTTTTCCTTCAACATAGTCAAGCTCATCTACCCAGGTTAGCAAGAGCAGCCTTACTGTCCAATGTCTTCAAAGAGAAATACTCTTCCCTAGTATCTTTACTTTTGCTCTTGAGAGGTTGCATTAACTGGCAACCTGCTTCAGTTAATTTGGTTCCCAAATGCCTTTAGCATATTTTCATTAAAGTTTGTGTGGCAATGCAAGCATGGCTCCACATTGCATTCACAACTAAACTTCAGATGTTACCCAATAGTCATCAAGTTCTTAGGCCTGAGAAGTGCCCAGACAAGTATTGGCAAAATTTCTGAAAAGACTTTCAGAGAGAGACAAAAGCAAATAATTTACAATAATTATTTCTGAATCAGTTATAAGGGAGAAAAAAGAATAGTGGAATCACTGTCTGTAGAAATCACAGCTGCAGTAAAAAAGGGAAAGGGTGTTAGGAATCACTATGGAAGGGATAGAAAAAAAACAGAAGACAGCATTCTGCTGAGTGTGATTCCACTGTGCCTCCACAGATCTTAAATACTGTGCATTTCTAGTCTTACCATCTCTAAAAGGAAACATCAATGATACAAAGAAAGGCAACCAGCATGAGCAGAAATATGGAACAGCTTCTCTATGAAAAGAGATTAAATAGGCTAAGACTCTTCATCTTGAAAAAACAGATGGCTGAAGAAGAACATGATAAAGGTTTAAAAAATTGTGATAGTACAAAGAAAGCAGATAAGAAATTTTTATGTCTTAGTTTTCATAATCCAAGAACGACAGGGAAGCACATAAAGCTATAAAACAGAAAACTTTAAATGACCAAAAAGACATGTTTTGGGTTTTTGGTTGTTTTTTTTTTTTTTTGGTGTTTTTTTTTTTTTGGTTTTTTTTTGTTTTGGTGGTTTGTTTTTGGTTTTGTTTTTTTTTGGGGGGGGGGGGTGGTTATTTCCCCCCATATGACTCATAATTAGTTTGTGGAGCTCATTTCCCAGCAAAGTTATGCATCCCAAAATGGAAAAATACACCCCAGTACATTTGCAGTCATTAGAGAACACACTACCCAAAAGTATTAGACATGATTGAAAGAAAATATCCATCAATAGCTCTTGTACGTGAAAACCGTGGGCTCAGAAAGGCTGTAAGCCAAAGGCTAGGAAAGGAAGGAAGGAAGGAACAATATAACTGGAGAAGTAAACTATCAGTGTTTGCAACATTCTCACACTCTCCCTAACCTTCCTCGTATTCTTGAATATAATTCCAGTGTAAGAAATATGTAGCGCAAGAACATGGTTCTCACACATCACAGATCATGTCATTTTGTAGTATTGATTACATTGTTTCCTGAGGCACTCTATTTAAAGTACCATCACTGTTAAAACAAGTGTGAATTTCATTCCCTTGTCTCAAACCAGACAATTTTTAAAGCCTATTACCGATTATTTTAAAACCTTATTAATTAAATCTTATTTATTGATATCATGTGGATGAGCATGTCAATTCATGAATTCTTTTCGTGATACCCTTCAACCTGTGCTGCCATTTTCCTTCCTACCAGATTTGTGCATTAACAGATGAGCTGACAGGACAAATTCACTCCAGAACAGAGAGAGTCACAATTGATTTTTTTTTTTTTTTGGTGAACTTGCCACAGGATACAATGCAATGTTTATATTAGATTCATGTTTTATGCTGGCCTAGGGAGGACACAATACGTGATCCAGTATGCTGTTCATGGAGAAAAGTTACCCTTCCAAATGCTTTGAATGAATGAGAGTGAAGGAGTTGATACTAGCTCAGCTTTGTATGTCATATGGACGTGGCTTTATTAAATAGTTACAGCAGCTTTACTGTGTCATTGGACTACGTCTTAGTCAGGCTCTTTCTTATTTGTTTTCTTTGTCCAAATGAATCTTGCAAAACCTACTGCCCGCTGTGTTTGTTTTAATGGAAAGAGACAGAACCAGGGTTTTTTTTTTTTTTTTTTTTTTTTTTTTTTTTTTCATGTCATCTTCGGCACTTTCACAGGGCAGAGGAGGGAGAGCTTTAGACACTTTAGGTGGAAAAGGTCTTGATCTCTCTGTTTCAGTGAAAGTTGCAAGCAGCCAATTATTATGTAGATTTAGCTGTTAGCATTAACACCTCCTTTTGAATCTCTCTTTTGTTCTCCGAGTTAGGCATGTGCTTCAAAAGCCTGGAAGGTTTATGTCCGCCCAGCTCCCCCGCTCCTGGCAAGGCCTCTGTCCCCGCCGCCGGGGGTTTGGTGGCCGCTGCGCTTGGATGCGGCGCTGGGAGCCGGCACAGACCTGGCGTAGGGAGCGGGGACTTTGCCGCATTACCTCACATCACAAGAGCTGAATATCTTTACTACACTGACATCTTGCCCCGATTTACACCTGCTAGAAGTCTGACATATTAGTTTTAGTGGTGTAATTTTCTTTTCCTTCAAAGTATTTTTTATGTTATTCAACATAGATTCAATTCAAAGCACCTCAAGTTTGATTCATATAAACTTCCCCAAATATTCTAATAATGTATAGTTCCATAGCACTTGGTTCACAGTATTTCTTATAATAATTTTTAAATATCAAAACTGGATCATTTGTACACATTAATTATTTTGACAATTTTCGATAACATTACTACAAAGAAAGAATAAACGTAGATTGATAATATCTTTAGAACTGGGCTTCTAGATTGCACGTTTTAAAATCAAAGATTCTCTGTAGCTATAGATACCCTTCATTTTAATACAGACACAACGACAGATACTAGCTGAGGTTTTGACCCTGCACATGATCTGCATTATTATAAAGGCTCTCTACAAAAGAGGCGAGTTCATTCATCCCCGGTGAACCTGCAATGGCTTCAGGTGGATGAGTAGCTTATTTAGCAGAATTTTAAGATTATCTTTCAGCAATGCAGTGATGTTTTAATGTATTTGTTTTCACAGAGACATATACAAGCATTATCGACCAGCAATTGAATTAAATATTTTCCAAAATATACAAGTGACCCAAACTTTCATTGTAAAGTCAAAAAGTAGTCAAAGTTAACAAATCATCTACATTTGATCCCCATTCCCCTCAGCTATCTTTGAAACACTCCTCCAAATAAGAAATGGTAGTAGTTCAATCTTTTACTGACTTAATTAAGCCCATGGTAAGCCCTAGTGTGGTCACTTACTCCAGTTTGTTTGGTTTAGTTTATACAGGCTATTGTTCAGTTTAAGCTCAGTGAGCCATTGTTGCTCCCATTTAAGAGAATCCACATACGGGTATTATTGGTTTAATTAAAGCCATATAATTAAACCAGAATTTTCACTGTCTATTAGCATTCTCTTACATCTGCATTTTGAGTCGTAAGCTTTCAACACTGGGAACTCAAAGTTAAAGTCCCAAAGCATTGTCTGGAGGGACCTGTTTAGCGCTCTGCATTTGCAATTCATGGCCTGAGCCATTCATTTTTCCCTTGCAGGCAGTGAGAACTGCAAATGGCCCATCACTTTGGAAAAAGTGATCATTATTTAGAAGTGTAAATGAAGATGCCCAAGACTAACCTCGTGTTTTGTCTGAAACAAAGACTGGTGTCTCCGGTCTGTAGCAATGGATTGGATGTGTCATAACAGAGAAATACCACATTTATCCTCTACATTACATGTTACACGCACCGGAATCATCTTCCTTTTCATATTCTTTATATTCTCCATTCCTTTTCTAGCTTCTTCCTACTCCAGATTCTTCCTGGTTGTTCCTTCCTGTCTGAAAGCTGAATCACTGAAATTCCTGTCCGTTTGCTTCCTGCTAAAATGAGATGATATTTCCAAAAGCACCACTTCCTCCCACTGACTAATATAGTACAATATCCTACAATACAGGTTTGCTTTGCTTGCTGCATGTTCTGTTTTATCCCACAATGTTTGTAGAATTAAACTATTTATTTACAAAGTGGATAAGATGTAGATCTTGTTATGTACAGGCCACATACAATAGCAAATGAAAAATAAATTAGAAAACAATAGGGAAAACTGAAAGGCTGAGACTCTAGGACTGATGTAAGAATTATTGATAATAAACCATTGCTGGAGATGGTTGCCAGGCATAATCTCTATTTGCATATAATTTGAACCAACATCAAAACAAAAAGAACAACAACAAAAAAGTCCAGCTCACCAAGGCAGAGATTGTAGAATTACTTTCCCCAGTGACAGGCATTTCCTAGCAGACTGTTCTTGTGCCAGGACAGGTATAATCACGTGTAGATGGAGAGATTTCCAGTTTTCCATACAGAAGTGGAAAGATTAGATAGGGATTAAAATATTAACAGAGGAAGACAAGTGGATTGCAAGAAAATGCTTCACCTGATGGTAAACTGAATCACACATATTTTAAATCACTGAAGTCTGATGAAGGCTAGCTGTCAGTATAAATATGGTCATTTCACCCATTTATCTCCACTGATTTCAGGAAAATTTTATGCTTTGTTTAGATAGGAAACCTCTTGGAATCCTGATTACAGTGAAATTAAATCTATCACAGTTGTATATATTTTCAGACAAAAATTATCATTTCCTCACACCAATCTCTTCTTTAAATTAACCTACTGTTATGTGACATCCAGAGCAGAA